CCTGCGTGTGCTAAGGAAGCTTCTACCCCTGGGTCACAGCCCAGCCCCGCCTCCTTCCCTTTTAAGGCCGCCAGTCGTCCATTCTCTGAACCCACCATGTTTTGTTTAATAGTCATGGGCTGAGCACATGAGGGCCGTGTCCACCCCTGGCCGATGTGAGCACACCTGGGCCGTGTCCACCCCTGGCCGATGTGAATGGTGCTGAGAACCCAGGGTGCTAGTATCTTTTCAGTTCCTGCCTCCAGTCCTCTGGGGTCCGACTGGGAGTGAAGCTGTGGGATCCTGTGACACCGTCTGGTGCTGGGAGGCGACATCACCCTCTCCCCAGGGCTGCGCCCTCTCACATTGCTGCCAGCGATGCACAGGGTTGACTTCTCCACATCCTCACAAATTTGGGGCTTGGGGGTTCTTGTTTTCAACAATAGCCATCCTAATGGGTGTGGACAAAAGTCTTTCTAGACACCCCTTGCTTTTGTATAAAGAAGAAGAAGAGATGCCCTACTCTGGAACATCGGGGCATTGGACAGCTGACACGCACTCGCATACCCCGCGTGCGTCGTGTTGAGGACACAGCTGGGATTGGGGAAATCTGTTTGGAAACTTTTTTATGAAAAAGACTAGCGGCCGAGTCAGTTCACTCTTCCACCTCAGCCCGGTGCCATTTCACACGGTGACTTATGTCATTCAGGATCACACTTTCTTCCATCTAATGTTTTTCCCCTCAAACTCTTTAGCCAGAAACCCTCCTCTGGCTGCTGAGGTAGAAGACGGTAATTTACATCAAGTTCTCTGAAGATTATGGCTCTCCAGAATGAAAAGCCTAGTTCCAGAAATAACTTGACTGAAAATGCCTGTTTCTGGTTTTCAGTTGGAAGCTTAACGTACGTTGTTCCCACAGGGTCAGCCAGGGCCAGTGGGCCCCCAGGGCTACACCGGGCCTCCCGGGCTGCAGGGCTTCCCAGGGCTGCAGGGCCGCAAAGGCGACAAGGGCGAAAGAGGAGCCCCCGGGACAGCGGGACCCAAAGGAGATGTGGTAAGCAGGATGCCGACGTTCTCCGGCTCCCAAGGGGCACCGTGTCCTGGCCGTCACTGACTTGTCACCTTCTTCACAGGGAGCAAGAGGTGTCTCTGGGTTCCCTGGTGCTGATGGAATTCCGGTAAGTTTTTGGAAGATGAGAGTTTTAAGACATTGCGTGCATTCAAGGTAGCACAATTGTGACATACAGAAACACTTTGGATGAGGCCTCCTGTTTGTTTATAGCATAAAACATGGGGGCTCGCCGGGCAGAGCTCTTTCCTGGAGTCCAGTCACACACGCCAGACTGTTCCCTTCATGAGCATGTTTGCAGACCTGGCTTCAGAATTGAGGCAACTTTGCTAAAAATGGACATTGTGAGTGTGATGTGCCCAGGGAGGGGCCAGGGTTGAGATCTCACTGGAAGGTTTGAACAACCTGAATGTGCAGCGTGGTGGGGGACCAGAAGGCAGCCCTGCTGGCCCAAGGGCAGCTTCTCAGGTCCCTTGTAGTAGCCACATGGAGCAAGCAAAAGGAACAGCCTGGCTTGTTCATGAGAAAATCTCAAAATGCAATAAAATGTGTTTTTGTAACCTAGTTTACTTTACTTCTTGTGGCATAAAAAAATAAACAAAACAGACTGACTCACAGCCGTCTTCACGGGGCTCCAGAAGCAGATTTCCCAGGGCCGGCTTTCCGGCCACAGCTGACCTCGGAGATGCATGTGTTTATCGCGCGTCTTGAAGCACCTCCCTTGTCTGCTGCTGTGACTCAGAGACATCTGCCTCCCAAGCCTCACACACACAGATGTCTGTGCCCGTAACCTGCACAGGCATCTTCTGTATCACCGCAGGCACACACACGAGCAGGCACACGCACACGCAGCGAGAGACCCTCCCCAGCTGCACAGGCAGGCTTGCTACAGAGAGTTCACACTCTGCCTTCAGGGCCTCAGCCCTCAGACTTCCTAAGAGAAGAAGGAAACAGCTAAAGGAAGAAGGTCACGGGACCTTCTGAGGGCCAGGACCCTCAGTGTCCTCGTGGCAGGCCCCAGCGGACATGTGCGTGGCAAAAGCTGAGTTGTGTTTTATAGAAATGCACCTAATTGGATGTTGAGCCACAGGGGTGGATATTTAACCCACTGTGGTCTAAGTTTTCCTCTGAAGCACAGTTTCAAGCCGTGTCCTGTTGGCAGGCAGCCGCAAACACCCTCATCCAGTTGCAATCAGAAGGCCAATAACAGTAGGCAGATGATCCAGGGAAAGGACAAAGAGGGCGAGGCACAGAGGCACCACAGAACAGGAAGATCCTGCGCAGAGCTCCGAGAAAGCTGTTTGCACAAGCTGGATCTGAAGGACCGCTCGTGGGGGTCCCTATCTCAGAGCTGTCTGCAGCAGCAGGTGGGCAGCTGCACTCACCTGTTACAGGAGCCTGTGGATTCTCCACTGGAGTTGGCTGACAGCACCAGGCCAACACAGTGACTGCACACATCTGAGGCAAACAGAGGCACAAATAAGAGAAAAGCCCCACTCTCTCATTATATGGCTCAGTGCTGTTCAGAGCACAAGGCACGTACCTACGGGGTTTATTCACCGATCTTGAAAGTTTCCAAATTTTTTAAGTAAATCTGAAAGGAATCCGAATGGGCTCAAAAGTCACCCTGGAATGTTAGTGTTTGGCTTATTATCAAAAAGTCTGAAGCTCAAAAGAAATCACATAATAAAGTATATTCATGATTTAAAGAAATTGTGTAATAGGTTGTGGTCACATAGCTTGTAAGTGGTAGATCATTGACCCCACCCCTCTACGTTGTTGAAATCAGGTAACTGAGATGGAGATGTTCACAGAGTTAGCACGACCCTCTCTAGCTTTCCCGTTGGCCAGGTGGTGTGCCCCGCTCAGGCCTCAGAACACTTGACATGCTTGGACTCGTGAAGGAACAGGGCTTGTGAGAATATTTGCATCTGTTTTATTACATGCAAACCAGAAACCCACGTGCAGGCCACCGGTCTCACGCACGATTCTCTTTCCCAGGGACACCCGGGCCAAGGCGGGCCCCGGGGCCGGCCTGGCTATGACGGCTGCAATGGGACCAGGGGAGACACAGGCCCACAAGGACCCTCCGGCCCCGCGGGATTTCCCGGCTCCCCCGTGAGTATGAGCATGGTGGTCCAACCTGCTTGGCCTGGAAGCCTGGGTGGCGGATACTCGGGGGGGAAGGTGGTCTGAGCTCCCTTTCCAGGCTCAGCCAGAGGGCCTGTGCTGGCCACCCTTCGAGAAACTCCGAGAAGACCCCCAAACCTTGCCTTTGGGAACCCGGGGAGACTCCCGCTCCTGTGGCCAGATGGACGCATCACTTCCTTTCCCGCCCGTGTTTTCTTGCCCCCCGCCCCCCCCCCCCGGGGCCCAGTTGTCCTGGGTTGGAGGAACTTCACTGTCCATATTTCTCTTAATCTTGGATGAGACGGTTGGCCTGGTCCATGATGTCCCGCCCGCATCACTCCATTCTCTCCATGTTCCGGCTCACATGAATGACAGTGTAGCAGCAAGCTAAGTTAAACACGTGGGCCTGGGGGGTTCCCTGTGAGCCTCCAGGACCTTTCATGACGGCAGGACGGTTGTGTCTGTAGCTCTTTGCCGTGTGGCAGACGGGACCAGGCTTGGTTTCCCAGGGGAGGAGCTTCACGGAATTGTCCATTTTGTGGCCTCATTCATTTTTCGGGATTCTTGCCAAGAACCCTGAAGTATTTTTTCAGTAGGGTATTTCTCCTTTTTTTTTTTTTTTTGAATTTTTTTAATATTTATTTTTTAGTTTTCAGCGGACACAACATCTTTGTGTGTATGTGGTGCTGAGGATCGAACCCAGCGCCGCGCACATGCCAGGCGAGCGCGCTACCGCTTGAGCCACATCCCCAGCCCTGTATTTCTCCTTTTTACTGTGAAAATCTTACAAATTCAAAACATTTTTAAGAATTTTTTTAAGACCTTTTAAAGTAGGAGGAAGTTGTGAATGGGCTTTGCCAGTCTTCATCCTGAAGCCAATCAAAAGAAGCGCCGCACCATCTGCCTTCAGGCCCTCCCTGGCTTCCTGTGTATGTGGTTCAGCTTTTCAACAAGCTACGCGCCATTTTCCACTCTATTCTGAAAGATATTTCATGACCAAGAAACACACCTATCACTTTGAAATGTTGCCTGCATATGTAGGTGTTAAAGATGTTTGTGCATACACACATGTGTGCCACACTGTCTATGTTGGATACAATACTAGTTGCAGAGATAACGCAGCCTCTCTCCTGCAAATAGGCCTGGAACCTATGTGCATTAATATCGTTAGGACACTAATGCCAAAAGAAGCCCGAGTATCCCAAAGATGGCGTGCCGGAGGGTGAGCATAGAGAGGACTCGTTTGGATTTTTTAAAATAAGTTAAATTCAAGAAAGTACTTCCATTTTAACTCTGAGGAAAGATACCATGCTGGACATAGGGCCGGTACTCAGGGTCACCTGCATAGACCACAGGGACCATCAGGAGGTACTTGGATACAGGGCTGGTGCTCGAGTGACCTGTACACCAGGGGACATTTAGACTCCAGAAGCCACAGCTTGATGGCGCAGATTACTAGAGCTACGCTCAGTGTTAACAGACTTGTTTTTCTCTTTTTATGATATATCTGCTAATTTAGGGGCCCCAAGGACCCAAAGGACAGAAAGGTGAACCTTATGCACTGTCTAAAGAGGACCGCGACAAATACAGGGTACGTGTGCCCAGGAGGGTAGACGGAATGAGCCCATCCCATGTAAATTTTGAGCAGAGTTCAGTACCAAGTGAAGGAGTGTAAGAGGGGCCCCGTGAAAGGATTCACAGGAGAATGGAAGATGAATTTAAGAGTCATTTAAATGACTTTTGGGATGAATTGGGAGGAATTTAAAAGTCACTTCTGATGGGACACTTTCCACCTTGCAGTAATCATAGGTGTGCTCTTTGCCTGTACCCCACGCCCTGGGCTGTCCGGGGAGTGGCGGTCCCTGAGTCCTGCACCCTCCAGCTATGTGCTCTAGCTCTGTAGTGATATGAAACAATGTAATAGTGCTGAACAGTGAAACATCATTTCCTCTCAAACAGGGTGAACCTGGGGAGCCTGGACTGGTCGGATTCCAGGTAAATTTTGTTTTTATTAGAGAGGATTCCAAGCACAGCTCTAAGAACGTCCAGCCTCCACACACAGCTGGTCTCTTCAAAACACCCTCTTGTTGTTCACAGGGTCCTCCTGGCCGCCCTGGACCTGTGGGGCCCATGGGTCCAGTTGGAGCCCCTGGAAGACCGGTAAGTCCCTCTTGCAGGCTCCCACCCAGTCCTCTGTCCAGTCACCCCCAGAGGCCACTTGTTGAAATGCCCATAGAGAAATGCTTCATGGATCCTGCAGCACCTGTCACCTTAGAAGTCACCAACACAGAGCAGGGCATTTTTTGCATATGTTTTGCTACTGTTGAGGTTTAAGAATAAGGACTCAAAGTCTGTGGCCTCTGGTTCATTGCCGACCATGTCAGATGATTTGGACCTGGTTCCCATCGGTGCCCTTCCGTTGGCACATAAATTCTCCCAGCCCCATGCCTACCATGTAACAAAGGACCTGTCATCTGTGGGCAAAGTGGACCAAAGTCCCACAGGTCACTAAAGAGGAGATGGGCTCTTCCCGGGCCAGGCCTGGTGCGGAAGGTCTGTCACACCTGGCCATGGCCATCGCAGAGGCAGGATGCTGGATGTCATTAGCCAAATGGCCATGGCCCTCTGAGTGGGGGTCAACGTTACTCCCTCCTGCAGCTCAGGTAAGACAGCCAGGAGGCTGCTGCACCGCTGCACGTGGGGCCCACAGGACATCTGGCCACCCCGAGGGGTCTCCGACTTTCCCACGTCCTGGTCTTTTAGCAGTAAGACACTCAGGCCTCGACCAGACAAGGGGAGGGTTCCTGCAGTGAAGGAGACCTTCTCACAGGAAACCGTCCTCCAGCCAAAGACGAGCGTCGAGATGCTCCCTGGCAGAGACTGGGAGAAAGGGAGATGAGGATGTTTGGGAAGAGTCACTCTTATGAACATAGCTCCCAGCAAAGGTTGTTTGGGTCCTAGGATAAAGAAACCAGTTCACAGATGTCTTTTTATTTGTGCAGGGACCACCCGGACCCCCTGGACCCAAAGGACAGCCAGTAAGTTTTGGGGGACCAGGACAAGGGAGGGCTCAGGTTGTGGGTGTGTTCGCCATAAGACACTTGGTTGACAACTATTACTGTTTAGATTATGATAAAAGTAAATACGCAGGTTTTTAAGACTCTAGGTTCAACTGTGAGCACAGATCCTGTGGGGCAGCAGGGGTCCTGGGACGGTTCCGCAGGTGAAGAATGTGAATGGTCTGTTGTGTGCTGGTCGGTCAGCACATTCCTGATACCCTGTGAAAGTCACCCTGATGGCTACGGGTCAGCAATCACGCCACAGTACAGCCTAGGGGCAGCTCAAGTTGTCTTCAGGGCTGATTTGGGGGAGTGGGAAGGTCGTAGCCATGTGCACTGTGGGAGGCCGGGGACGCTTGTCTCTGGAGTCTGAGTGGGCTCTAGGGACGTATGTGCCCAGTGCTCCCCAGGTCAGCGGAGCCCTTGCCATCCTGTGTTCCTCACAACAGGATTTTAAGTTGGTAGAAGCACAACCAACTAGGTGGTTTGTCAGAAGCGTGGAGAACAGAGCCAGGGTTCGTTGACCTGGGAGAGCTGGGCGAGCCTCCGCACTGACCAGGGTGATGAGGGAAGCGTTGGTCAGACTCGCCCCATCAGAGACCCCCACTGGCACTGTGGGGGACCTCCAGGAGCCACCACTGCCTCCCCTCCAGATAAGGGCTGCCATCCCTCACTGTCCCATGCCAGCTCCACCTGAAGTCCCGTTTCCATGTCACCTGGTGACACAACAGCCACACCCCCTCCTGCCCCCCAATCTCCCATCACCTCTGACAAGACTTGGCTGCAGCTGGTACTCACTGAGCTACTGGACTCGCCTGCCTACCGGGCCAAGAGCAGGGTGGGAGGCCCCAGGCCAAGAGCAGCAGCAGCAGCAGAAGCTGGTGGGGTGGCCAGAGAAGCAGCAGCCACCAAGCCCAGCAGGCCTAGATCTGCACTGGCCACAGCAGACAGGCAGCCCTCTTCACCCCACCACCTCACATCCTGGAGACTTTGACAGCCAGCCAGGAGGCAGAGAGGACCATGGGACCCAAATCCTCACCCCAGCCAGGTCACTTCCTGGTGACTTTGACAGCCAGCCCAGGAGGCAGAGAGGACCATGGGACCCAAATCCTCACCCCAGCCAGGTCACTTCCTGGTGACTTTGACAGCCAGCCCAGGAGGCAGAGAAGACCGCAGGGTACTCAAATGGCCTTCTGATCTAGCCAGGCTGCTTTTCTGTGCTTTGATTTCAGCTCCCAGCCAGGTGGGAAAGAAGCAAAGAGCAAAAATTAATTAAAGGCTTGGTTTTCATTTTCAGAAAAGCTCTGGGCATGGGAGGGGTGGACGGTAGACTGCAGAGAGGAAGACCAGAGAGGGCTCCGCATGACCCTTCTCACTGTGGGAAGATGGAGACCCTGGGAATGAGGCACAGCTGTTTGGGAGGGACAGGAGAGAGCTGGTCTCTCTGTGTGGGGACTCTGGGCAGCCTCTCACGTTTCCGCTCCCACACCGGGGTGGGCCGGTTCCCCACCAGGCTGCTCCACTTTGGGGCTGGCTCAGGGCCCGATTTCTGCCTCTTGGGCAAAGGAGGGTGAAAGTTGGCCAACACTAAGAGTCACCTTAACCATTACATTTAGAGTGATTTTAAATCCCCTAAAAAGATAGGAAATGCTTATATGAAATGAGAATGATTTTTATCAAAATGGGAAAAAGAGTGACCTTCAAATAGGGAATGGAGGGAATGAAGGGGCTGGTCTCCCCTGGAGAGGCAGTGGGCTCCGAGAGAGGGTCCAAAGGTGCCGCCAGCCTCAGCTCCGATCCCTGAGGCCCAGTCAGAGGACCTGACAGTCAGTCGGCCCCTGGGAGCCGCAGCCCGAGTCCTCTGCAGGTCCTGTGGCTCAGTGCCGTGCACATAGGCAGGTTTTGGGTTTCTTCTTCTAAAAACAGAGTTTATTTCACTGTGATTATTGACTTAAAGACTCACAAAAGCCATTGATCTTTCCAGGGCAACAGAGGACTGGGCTTCTACGGACAGAAGGGTGAAAAGGTAAGCCACCCTGGGAGATTTGCGCAGCTGCATCACCATCAGTTACCGAGGTTGACAGGGAGACGGGAGGTGATCCGCCACATGGGAGGCAACCACGGTCTGGGGCCAGTTCTCAGGGTGGTCACAGATGAGTGAGTCATGACACAAGCTGTCCAGGTTGGCCTAGGCCTCTGACTCAGTGCTGTGACCCCAGACTGTGCCCAACTGGGAAGCAAAGGCATTTAGTGAATGTGTCTTCTAACAGTGGAAACCCAGGGTGGCTAAGGGGACTCAGTCAAGGACCAGAGGGGACATGGCACCATCTCAGGGGCAGGTGACAGTGGTGCTTGCTGGCCTCAAAGGCAGGAGCAAGGACCCTATGGCTTTTATCATTCCTGATAGTGCTAAGATTCAAGGACTCCTGGGCTCAGAGAAGAGCAGGCACCCACACCCCCGAGCCGCCCCCCCGCATGCCCAGGGCACTCACCTGGGTCCTGGCTGTGTGAGCAGGGCCACTCTGTCTCCATTCTGCTTTGGGCTGAGCTGCCACTGAGTGGAACTAAGTGCTGCTCAGACGTGAAGACGTGGGTCTTTGCATGAAGAGCATGAAAGAAATCTCAAAGGAAAAACATTAAATTTCCAAACACACAAAAATAGAGCAAACAAAATGGGACTGCTTCCCACATGCTGAAATATATGCCAATATTAAAATAAAAGAAGAGAAATATGGGAATAAATCATTAATGGAAGGAGAGAATGGTCATTAGATACAGTGGAAATGAACTGAATGTCTGTAACTTACAGAGGGCTGATTCAGATCACTAGTGACAATACCAAGGTCCCAGTAGACCAAGGAGAGGGATAGTTTTCAGTATTTAAAAGACACGTTAGTGGATGTTCAGAATTCATTGTAGGGTGCTGCTCTTGACAGCTGATACAGCATTTCAGTTTGCTGGTGTTTCTATTGGTGATCACTAGGCTCAAACTTGAGATGATAGATTTATTTGAGACAGCTTTTTATTACATAAAAACACCCTTAGCTGGTGAGGTAGTGGTAAGACTGGACTAGCCTTCCATTTTTCAGGCATTTCTTATATCTTGGGGTCGTCTTGGCAAGCAGTAGTGGCTGACATCAGGAGCCCTCAAGACGTTATCCCTCAGACCTAGTAGTTTCCATGTGCAGAAGTTCATCACAAGAAGGGAATTCCAGAGAAGGGAATGCAGTCCGCAACCTGACAGTCCACGCAGTTCTGATGCATAGATGCCAAACAACTACTTGTGAAAGTGGGACAAAAAGAATTTCATTTTAGGATTATGCTGTTGTGATCATTTTATTTTAGGATCATTGTACTGAAAAGTAGGTATACAGGTGGCAACATGCAAAAATCAAAAGCAGTGTTGTGGTGGGTTGTACTGCCGTTCAAGCTTCCGGCTCTTCTTTCAATTCACAATGACTTCCCTTGCTGAACACTCAGGGCGACGTAGGACTCCCAGGACCCAACGGGATCCCGTCAGACACCCTCCACCCCATCGTGGGGCCCACCAGGACGACCATCCACCCAGATCAGTACAAGGTAAAGAGGGTGACTGCTTTCCCAGTGGCACCAGAGAAAAAGAGAGGGGGAAAGGCAACTTCCCCCAACTGCATTCAGTCCCTTCCCACGTAGGGAAGGCCTCGCCGCCAGGCCCTCCCAATGCCCTTGTGGCGCCCAGGCAGTTACCAGGCCCACAGAGAAACAGCTTCACCCTGCATCTCAAACGATTGCGGATGCAAAGCCACATGAGAACCCCCTGAGGAAACAGGTCTCTCCTTAGGTGTGGGATGTAGACGCAGGCTGATGGCCATAGCGTGATTCAAAGCCAGGATCACAGATCCATCTGAGCAAAAGGTCATATTACACCAATGAAACCTCCTTTCTTCTTAGCTCGGCTGAAGCACCTTTTCTTTTGAATCAGTTTACGATGCCTTCCCTTTACTTCTGTTAGCATCTTGTGGGGCTAAAAGCACACTCCGGTTCTGCCCTCCCTGGTGCCCTGGCTCAGGCAGGACTCTCTGGGCCTGCCTGTCTGGGTCAGGGGGAGATGGGCTCACTGCGGCCAGGAAGCTGGAGCGAGCAAGGAGGCCCCGTGCAAGGGGTTAGTCCCCAACTCCCTCGCAACGTGAGGAGGTCTGGGTCCTGGGTCATAGGTGAGATTGGCAAGCAGGGCCATGACTGCAGGAAGGAACCAATCTAGCCAGCTGTGGCCCCGGGCACTTATAAGTGACCATTGACAAACGTGGCCTGGAGGTGGTGGGCAGGTCTGTGTGCAGTTAGACCCAACTGCAGAGGAGGGACCAGGCAGGTCCACGCCAAGCTGAGGGGCTCAACCGTCCAAGAAGAGGGGGTGGGTTCCAAGCCGGCCTGCAGGGGGCAGTCTGAGCTACAGGAGCCCAAGTGTCAGGCGACCCAGGGACCAAGGACCTCGCCAGTCAAAAAGAGTGAAACAAAAATCAGTGCTGCTTCCTAAAGCCACTTTTGCTTGAGCTTTTAACATGTTCCAAGCACATCTTTTCCTCGGGGACCTTCCTGGTTCTGCCTCATTCAAATGAATGCCATCCGGGGGCTCCTCTCTGAGTGTCCCACCCACTGCACCACTGAGGCGTGGAGGGTGACACTGGCACAGATGCTGAGACACCTGTAACTCGTGAGTGACAGAGGAAACCTCATGGATGGGAGAGAGACCACCTTTCAGTCGTGTCGGGAACCACACATGATTTGATTTATCTTGTAAAAGTCTAGAACAATGGGGCTGGGACGAGGGCTTGGTGGCGGAGCACTTGCCTGTGTGAGGCACTGGGTTGGATCCTCAGCACCATGCAAAATAAATAAATAAATAAAATATTGTGTCCATCCACAACCAAAAAACATTTTTTAAAAAAAAATCTAAACTAACACTTTTGTTTCCATTTGATTTTTGAAGCTGCAAATTCAGGGAATTAGTGGCTATAGTTCATTTGTAGTAATGGTTTAAAGTTTTACTAAAGACTCTTTACTTCATATTCCTGATCAAGTGTCAGATATTGCTGTTCACAAATCAATGCGCATTTCTTCTTCTTCACACACTCTGCAGGGCGAAAAGGGGAGCCGAGGGGAGCCGGGCATAAAGGTAAGCTCGGTGGCCGGCTCGGTGGCCAGTGCCTTTCTCCCTTAGGTCCCGGGCTCCTGCTGACAGGTGGAGTGAGCCGGTCTTGACAGCCCTGTGCTCTTGGGTTGGCTTCAGCTTGTCTAGGCAAGGAGGGAGTATTTATCGTCACACTCTGGTTTTCCAGAAAATGTTTTTAGAGCGCCCTCCTTTTGCATGACAAGCCCTGGCCAGTCAACCTTATTTGAAGTTCTAAGGCAGATGTGTGGGCTGCAGGTGGGGCTGGGAGGTGGTGGGCTGGCCTCCGTCTGGGTGAGGGGTCTCTGCCCTCTCGCTCATCCTACCAGCCTACCTCGTGTCATCCAGGCACACTGGGGGGCTTTCCCAGCACCCTCATGTCATGGAGGATGTGGGGCACTGGGGCTGGGAAGGGCAGCCCTTCATGCTACTCTGCTCTCTCTTAGGGCATCTCCGTGAAGGGAGAGGAAGGCATCGTCGGCTTTTCAGGACCACGGGTGAGCTGAGTTTTATAACTGAGAATGACTATCTATTTGGCTTTTTGAATAGACTTTATTTTTCTAGAGCAGTTTTAGGCTCATAAGAAAAGTGAGCAGGGGCTGGGGTTGTGGCTCAGTAGCAGAGCACTTGCCTTGCACATGTGTGGCACTGGGTTTAATCCTCAGCACCACATAACAAATGAATAAACAAAATAAAGATACTGTGTCCACGTGTAGCTAAAAAATATTTTTAAAAAAAAAGGAAGAGAAAGAAAAGTGAGCAGAAAGCGCAGTGTGTTACCATTGTTCTGATGCCCCCCACACGGCCTCCTCCCTGGACACCCTGCTCCAGGACGGTCATCTCTGCAGCCCCTCACCCCCCAGCCACCCTTCACCTTCACCCAACACTGGAGCTGCTGAAACTGTGCACCCCACCTGGAGGGAGGGGACCAAACCCAGACATTGTGCTCATTTTAGGCTCATCTAGTCTTTGATAACCAAAAATGTAGTGCGTGGAACACAGATTGATTTCTGATTGCCCCAGGAGTACAACGAGAATGTCCCTAGTGCCAGGTGTGGTGGCACATACCTGTGATCTCAGTTACTGGGGAAGTGAGGCAGGAGGATCACAAGTTCAAGGCTAGCCTGGGCAACTCATCAAAGACCCTATCTCAAAACAAATATAACAGGGAATGGAATTCAGAGGTACGTGCTGGCCCAGCATGCGTTCCATCCCAGCACTACAAAAGACAAAGTCACTGGTGCTGTGTGCAGGCCTGCGATCCTAGCAGCTAGGAGCCTGAGACAGGAGGACCTCAGATTCGAGACCAGCCCTAGCAACTTAGTGAGATCCTAAGCACTCAGCAAGACCCTGTCTCAAAATCTAAAAAATGAATATAAGGACTGAGGATATGTTTCAGTGGTTAAGCCCCCCTGGGGTTCAATCCCCAGTACCCCCCGCCCCCGCCAAAAAAAGAAAAAGAAGAAGAAAGAATGTCCCTGGTAGAGGATCCTGCAGGAGGTGTGGATACCACCTTCAGAGCAGCATCCTGAAAGCCCCTGGCCGCCTCCAGGTTCAGTCACAGGTAGGGAAGTGTGGTGAGAGTCCTGGCCCAGTGAGAAGAGAAGGAGGGTCTTGCTGGTTATCTGGCAGTCGTTACCATGAAGAAGACTTGGTCTCTGAGTAAGAGGAGACTTGCGGAACACTGGGTACAGGAGTCTTCTGTATTCACTGTGCCACCTCTGTGGGTGCTTCCATGTTTCCTTAAGCAGCAGAAGTGGTGCGTTGGATGAAGGTGTTGCCAGCATGCCCTCCCCTTTAGAAAGCAGGACTCCAGGTGGTTTGGGGACTCTCACAGGAAGGGCAGCTTGCTCCTCTAAGTGGTGACTCTGTCCCTTTTCCCGTCTTACCGTGGTCAGATCTCTGCACAACCCCACCCCTTCTGAAGCAGGGAGAATCATATTTGGTGGTTTGTTCTCGGTGTGGAATTTGGTTGTTTTGATCCTCCTCGAGTACCAAAATATCAACCTCTAGAAATTTCTGTTTCATGTTCTGAGCTGTTAATCGTTGTTTTCTGTTCAACCCAGGGTCCTTCTGGCTTCGATGGAGAGAAAGGATCCCCAGGACAGAAAGTAAGTTTGCTGCGTCAAACAGTCTGCTCTAGACCTGAGATCTCTTACAAAGGCCCTTCAAATAAGCACGGCATTGCAGAAAAGAACGTTGGCCCCAGAGGCAGCATCTTTCCCTGCATTGACAGTAGCATAAATAAGCCTTTCACTCACAAAACTTAGATTTTTTGCCATTTTTCTTGGGGTTTTTCTTGCAAATCAGCCTCTCAGTTCTTCCCACTGATCCCTCCCCCAAGACTTTCATTGCTTGGCTGCCTCCCTGGACCTCATACCCTTCCACATCATCGTTGTCACTCTTAGGAAGGCTGTCAGCTCAGTCCCCGAGGTTGATATATTTTTTATAGATCAACACACACTTTGATGTTTTATGTTCAATGATAACCCAAACAGTTATTTTTATCATGTGTTTGGTAGGCAGGTTTTTAGGGGGAAATGTTATGTGAAAAATGTACTATGATTCTGGACCAGGTTTAAAATCGTAAACACTAGATCATACGAGAAAGAACATATAGAGCTAGTTTCTCTATTTACTTTCAGTATTCATTCACTCCAGGGCAACAGCTGTCCATGCTACAGCCAACCACAGGACCAAAGGTCAGCTTACAGCCAAAGGGCTGCAAGGGATGAGGCTGGCAAAGAGATGGAGGCCAAAGCAGGCCTCCATATCCCACCCTGCCCACCCCTGTCTTCAGAGGTCACTGCCAGTTCCCAGGTTGCCTACCACATGCTAGTGAAATCACAGTTATGATCGGTTCTTCTGCACCCAACACATAGGAATTGAGTTGTTTCAAAAGGTGATTTGACATAGCTGCCCCTAGAACCCAGAAGTCCATGAGCCATAAGAGGCCCAGCAGGCCCTGGCCACCTACATGGTCAGGCATGAGGAAGGCTGACCACCCTTCCTGCTTCCTCTCTGCAGTTGCTGTGACATGGTAAGATGCAGACGTCTGTGGCTAAGTGGATTGTAGGAATAGTTTACTCCGCTGTAAAAATGTATATAGAGGCTGCACTGCAGGCCAGGTGGCCGGGTGTCTATGCAGCACTCGCGCCTCCCCAGGTCACCCTGATCTTGTGTTCATGGTTTGGTCTTATGCAATAACAAAGAGCAAGAAGCCAGAAGCCACTCCAAGGAACAGCAGTGGACGCTAACAAATACCACGCATCAAAGCAGGGGACCAAGGGAGAAATGCATTCTGGGAAGATGTGGGCTCCCTGCATGACACCAAAGCCATCAACCCCCACTGCCATCACAGAGCTTTGGTTAGTCTGAACCTTCTCCAGGGGATGGGAGAAGTTGACTTTTCCGGGTTGTGTTAACTTTTCTGAGCAATTCGAGATGGTCTCCCTCCTTTTTCTATGGCAAACTTAGTAACTGAGTAAAGGCTTTTCACACTAGAGTTATCCTAAAAAGCGCTCACCAGGACCTGAGACCCTGGAGGGACACCAGCCAATGACAGCTGCCGGTAGTGTTGGCAGAAGCCCCCTCACGGCCTCACGTCAGCAGGACCATGAGACCTGGATCAGAACTGTCTGGGAGTCCAGGATGTCCCTTTTCCCACCGTGGGCAGCAGGGCACCAGCTTACCAGGTACCCGCTCAAGAGCGTCATCCCGGCTCTCCAGCTACTGCCGCCTGCGGTTCCGCACCACAGTCCGCTGGCCTTCAGACTGACGGGGGTGGACACACCTCCTGGGGCCCTGTGAGTTCCGTCTGGCCTAACCCACGCTCCCTGGGCCGCCGACCTGGGAAGGCGCCCACTGAGCCTGTTTAGACTGCGGGAGGCAGTTTACCGGAGCATCAGGGTCTCTTTGGAAGAGGCCTGTCATAACAAACTCCTTCAGGAGCTTGTTTCTGCCAGTCCCTGAGGACTTCTGCCTAATGACTTTCCCTAATGTGGGTTATTCTGCCCTTGAAAATCATGAAACTGACCGCTTTCGGAGCCTCAGCTCTACCTCGTGTGAGTCCTCCCGGCGGGAACCGCAGGTCTGCAGTGGGAAGCAGACGGTCCGCCTCTCCTGGAGCACCCAGCAACACGGCTGCAGAGATTCGAATCTCCTGTGAAAGAGTCCCATCAAGTCCTCAGGGCCTCAGGCTGCACTGTCCTGGGGTCGGGGACTGTACCAGAGGAAGCCTGTAATGAGGAATGACGTCTCGACTCCAGGAAGCTCTGATCCATCCTGTGACCCCGTGATGCGACCACCATGGTGAACTTCTTCCTTCGGTAGATATTCAAGAGAATTAGGAAGCAACATTAGAGTCATTTTTTTTTTTAACAAAGAGGAGAATTCTCAAGAGATTTTAATACTTGTATTTGGTGTTAAGGACTAATGTTCAAATCCCGTCTTGGGAAGATTCTAGCAGCTGGATTGGCATCAACACCGGAGCCCACTGTTCAGTCACAAGATCACTAGCGTGGGGCTCCTGGCACCCTGGTACCCAGCGCACAAGAAAGAGCTGGCCTCCTCTGAGCAGCTCCTGGACTGACCAGCCCCCATCCCTAGTGACCAGGGGAGAAGAACGCAGGAAGGGAGGCAGACCCGAGCACCCACAGCATCACCCAGAGCAACGGGGACATTGGCAGCACCATGGCCCAGGTTTTCCCACAACAGCAACAACAAAAAGATACTTTAAAGAAAGAAAGGAAGGGGAAAGGGGAGAAAAAACTTACGAGCTAAAAGAGAACTGAGAACCCGACAGCCAAATGCCAAATTTGGACTTTGGCTCCTGGTTTAAACAAAGAACTTTAAAAAGGTATTTCTGGATCTAAACTCCGGGGAAATGGAATACACTGGATAGTCAGGGAGTTCGACTGATCACTGTTAATTTTTCTAGCTATAATCATGAAGCCATGGTCACGTTTTAAAGTTATGTGTTAGATCAAAATAAAAAGCAAGCCTCTCTCCGCAGGGAAGCCGAGGGCTGGATGGCTACCAGGGCACGGATGGGCCCCGAGGACCCAAGGTGAGTCCTCTTCAGCCTTTCCTCTGATGAGGTCCCGCCCGCCACTGGAGAAGGAGGCACCCACCCTAAACAGATGGGGAACACACAGTGCCCAGCCCTGGATGGAGGAGACCCATGGCCGCTCATTAGCCACATGGACTCCTCGCCCAGGGTCAGGGTGCCATATGCCATACAGGGCCACCCAGGCTGCCCCAGGAGAGAGAGGTCCAGCAGGGCTGTGGGGAGGGGGGTTTTGCAGTCACAACACGGCGCAGGGCCCCTGGCTCTGGGGGAGGGTACAGGTCGCCTGGCTAATTCTGAGGACCAGTGGGGTGAGCTGGGCCTTCCCTCTGACCTGTATCTGGTGAGAGAGGACCTCAGGTGCTGCCACAACCCCTCCCCACTCCCCATCCCTGGATGCCCAGATGTCACCACACACTGTGGTGGTCTGGCCTGTGGGACACACCGTCCCCTGGCCACTGCTGGTGTTCTGTTAGTGTCTCACAGTGAAATTGGCATGTGCCTATACTGTTCCCTCTGGTGCATTGGCTGGCAGTGGGGCACCGGACTTCACCACCACGCAGCAGAGATGTGGCCGCAGGGACAGGCTGTGGGTGGACTGGTCAGAATAGTCGCCCTGCCCACCTGACTCCATCTCCACCTTGATTCTTTGGAAACGTGTAGTTATGGAAGCCCAGAAGCCCCTTCTCACTCTCTCCTGTTCTCTCTCCAGGGGGAAGCAGGTGACCAGGGTCCCCCAGGACCACCTGCCTACTCGCCTCATCCTTCCCTGGCTAAAGGTTGGTAGGAAAATTTCCCCAGAATGATTTAGCATCACACGGATACTTCCTTCTGCCAAAGACACAGACTCATGAAATTTTAAGACAGATTTTCCAAGCAAAAACCAAAGTGTTGAGAACGCAGCTTCAGACACAGCCTGGGGCGCCGCTTCCCGCAGGGCTCGGGAGTTATCACGGGAACCAACCTCTGTCTGCCTGACGGGCCTCGCTGCCTTCCAGGGGTGTACGTGACGCACAGGTTCTGGTTTTACTATCTAGAATATCACTCAGGAAATCCGACAGCAGCTGCCCCCCAGGGCTGGTGAGCACCCTGGAGACGTATCTCTGTGGGCCTGGAGCCACCCATGAGCCTGCTGTGAGGACTGCGCTCAGCACCTGTGACCCACCTTCCCACCCACAGTATCTAAAGTGTCTATAAACACAAAGCCCGAGACGGCACACACGGCTGGCTAGACTTGATTGAGGATTCGTCATCTTTTTTCTTTTTCTTTTTCTTTTTTTTTTTTAGTTATAGGTAAACACAATATCTTTATTTTTTTATGTGGTACTGAGGATAAAACCCAGTGCCTCGCACATACCAGGCGAGCGCTCTACCTCTGACCACAACCCCAGCCCAGGATCTGTGATCTTGATAAAATGAAAACATTGCTTTTGAGGCCTTGGGCACTTGATTTTTAAATCACTGTTGACATGATCTTTTGCATTATCAAAAATATGGCTGACTGAGAGCTCAGGACCCATTCAGTTCCCCCACCCCACTCTGTGTGCCTGGCGGTCAGGCGGACAGATGGATGGTTGGAAATTCAGTCTTGCTCACATGCAGATGTAGAAATGCCTCCACTGCCCTCTTCTCCAGGGGAAGATGCTCCTGGCTTTTGGTAGCTGGAATGTGACTGAGCTGCATTCCAGAGTGGCAGAGCAGAAGGTTACCTCTGGAGAGAGTCCTCCGGGGTGGGGTGGTATCGTTACAAGGCCGCCTTGCATGGGCTTGTGGAAATGCAGAAAGGAGAGGGGTTTGTGCTGAAGGAAAGGATTCCAAGTAGCTAAAACAGGCCGTCTTCTCAGACGCTCTGCTACTGTAACAATGGGGACTCTTTGGAGCGTGCGCGGTGTGCCTAGCAACTCTTCTAGGTGGTTCTGATTGCACCTGTCAATCTGTTCACCCCTCCCAATGGCCCTGTGAGCTGGGGTGACTCTCAGCTCCATCTTTCTGAGGGAAAAATTGAAGCTCGGGGAAGCCAAGTGACTCTCCTGAGTGCCATATGTAACAAGCAGAGGGACAGGCAAGGAATTCAATCACTCGCACCCACAGCTCAAGAGGGCCACCAATCCTCATCCCACTTTAAGAAAAAATGTTTTAAGGTTAAAAAAATGGAAGATCATATGCAGAGTGATGGCTTTTCCCCAAATTACTGATAGTGTGTGACAAAATGTGGTTTTCTCCTCTGTTCTCTCCTAATTATAAAAACACGTAGGTGGTAAAAGGTTGCTGAGGGGCAGCTAGAGAACAGAGGGATGCTGCTCAGCAATTGTTCAGTAGGGATGGAAGTCCACCTGTTATCCACCTGCCAGCCCTGAAGGAAGCCTTGAGGGTGCAGAGCCGGGGAGAGGAGCCAGCCCCTTGGCCTCCCCTCTGGAGCCTGGTGCGCTGTGGGGATTACTGCCCGTCACTTCTGCCTTCCATGGAGCTTTGGGCTCAGCTGCTCTTTCCCCTAACTTCCCACTAGCCTGTCCCCAACATCCCTCAGCCCAGCCCTGTCCGGCCGAGTGCAGTGGAGCTGGGCACACAGTGTGGCTGTTGTCCTTTCTGGGCGCCCTTCTCTCACCTGTAGAAGTGGGCTGCAGCAGGTCTCCGCAGGGGCCATGGGGCCATGGAGTCATGGGCTCTGGTGGACGCCACTCGGGCTCCCACACTCAGGCTGCGCTCCAAGTGACCTCCGCCTCTGTCCTTTTATTCCCTGTGATCCCTCAGTATCAGATTCTTCCTTCAAAAGAACCTTCCCCACCTTTGAAAACTGCAAGCGCCCGTTCAGCATTCGGCACCCCTGCGCTGTTCATAATGACAGGAATCCCCCCCATAGATCCCCCCATTGGATCGTGAATGAGACCCTCAAACCCAGAAGCCCCTAGTTCCCAAACATGTGAACCTCCTCTGTGTTCAGAATAGTCAGCAGATATGTTCCAGTGACAAGGTGCTGCCTGCTGCAGTCTGCACACAACAGGCTCACCCTACCCGGGGACTTATCCGTGTTCTAGGTGCCAGAGGTGACCCAGGATTCCCAGGACCTCATGGGGAGCCAGGAAGCCGCGGTGAGCCAGGAGACCCCGGGCCCGCAGGACCCCCTGGCCTGTCTTTTGGGGATGAAGGTAAGGGGCCTTGTGGCATCAGACCTCAGATTCAAGTGCCTTAGCCCCTGTGAGCAGGGACACCTGAGACTAGTGGGTGCTCCTCAGGCACGAGCCACGCCAGCCTGTTGTGATGTCTGTGTGGAACCTCACGCAGGTGACAGTAACCCCCAGCTGCGTTAGACTGTGCCACCAACTGGGAACTAGCCTGGTCCCATCAGCTGGTTGGAAGGCGCACAGGAGTTGTGCAGAACTGTGGTACAATCAAAGGCCATTGTTGGAGGGAGAAGAGGGGACTGTTTTTAAAGACATTTTAAAGGTGGCATCCACCTTTACTTCACTGACTAGACTGTGAACCCGCTGCACCTGCTGGTGGTCTGTGGACGTAAATATCAGCGCAGCCCCTAAACACCAGGAACCTCGTGCCGCCCTATTCTGTGACATTGATTGATGCTGTGGGTTTCAGATGAGAAGAGAGGCCTCCCAGGGGAGATGGGACCCAAAGGCTTCCAAGGAGAACCTGGCATCCCTGCATTCTACCCTGGCCCACCCGGAGCTGACGGAAAGCCCGGTCTCCCAGGAGCCCCCGGGCCTGCCGGACCACCTGGACCAGATGGTGAGTGGAGGGACGCCAAAGGCAGGTGTGTGCCAGTGCTGGATCCTCTGGGTCCAGCCAACCCAGCAGGGCTTTATTTGGAATTTTTTGCTAAATAATCCTGAACTCATTCAGCTGGGACGGGAGTGGACACAGGTCAGCCTGTCGAGTGGCTGCAGTCACGTGGCTCTTATGTAGTGAACTTTGGTTACTACTACCTCAGCCAAACAGGTGAGATGTCAGTGTAAATGTGAGCTGAAGCCCTGTCCCGGGTCTGTGTGCCAACTGCACACACCTTCTTCCAGGGCAGAGGCCCACTCCTTGACCTGCAGCCCCTCTCCTCTGTTCTCAGCTCATACAAGACAAGCTTGAGTCGGTGGCCCAACGGCTGCCCCACGACACCTCCAGGGTTAGCCCAAGAGGCATTTCCAGCCTCAGTGCTGCTGAGTTCTCATGTGTTGGGAATGCTGTGCCCCAGGAGGCCTAGAATATGCACAGCCGGCAGCCTTGGGCCTGCTGTCCAAAAAGGGCATGCTTTCAGCTTCAGTATCCAGTATGCTTTCAACACTCTGAAATTCCTAATGGGAACACTGTGTCCCCCAGGAGATTGGACAACAAGGCACTGGAGGAACATAGGAGGTCACACTCTATCTGTGTGGCACTGGCCAAAGTGTAACAGCCTCTCCTTTTCAAAATAGTTCACTCTAAATTCTCTGTTGTCACCTCCAGTAATCTCTCACTAGCTTCTATCTTCAGGGAGAATGAACATCATATTTGCTAATGGATAGAGTTGGATTTCCATTAAATTCAAATGTAAACATTGAGGTTTTAATTGCTTTAGAAGATACTTTGAAATCTCCAGAAGGAAACTTATTGGAGGTTTTAGAACTTATTTAGAAACTTATTGGAGGTTTTAAGTTCTACTTTCCACAGATTTCCACATTTTTCAAAAAGTTTTAAGCACAGATATTTCCCTGGATCATGGATTTGCCAAAGAGTTTGAACAATGTTATCTTTAATATTTTCTATTTTGTGATATTTATTAATGTGGATCTGCAATAATAGCCAAATTATCTTTCCAAGTAAATAGTATCTGTTGAGTTTCCCTTATTTGGGTCAGAATATATGTTAAAATGAAAGCATAAAAACAAGTCGCTGTGATTGAAGACTGGGATAGCCATTGATTGCTGTGACCAAATTCCATTTTGATAGCACAAACCATGCTATCCAATCTTTCTTAGTAAATCTGCAATTTACTGATTTACCAGTGTAAGTCGATCATAGATCATCAACTAAATTCTGATCTATATTGTAGACTGATCAGGGAGTGTGTAAAATAGATGGAATGATATCACATAAAGTTTATCAACTAAAGAATTTTAAAGCATACAATTTAAATTCTTACCCCCATGATATATATATTGTTTCCACATCTCCCCCCCACATACTTTTTTTTTTTTTTTTAGCAACCCCTTATATAAAAAGTAGCCAGTCACAATGACCATGACCTTTTACAAGTGTCGGTGGCCAGTGTGGTGGCACACACTTTAGTCCCAGCTATCCTGGAGGCTGAAGCAGAATTGTGAGTTCAGGGCCAGCCTGTCAGCATGAGACCCCACCTCAAAAGAAAAAAAGAGAGAAGTGTGTGTGTACACTTGAGTTGAGTATCAGTGATCTTTTTCCCCGGAGTTCTGTTTTTTTCCCCCAGAATGAAATTGTCGGACTCCTGTTATTAACTGCACTTCATCCTATTTTGTGTGTGGCTAGGAATGAAAACTAGAATTTCCAGTCTTGTGCAGTTCCAGTGAAATCAAGCCTTGAAGTCGGTTCCCTTCTGGGTGAAACATGTTGCTTGCTCTCACTTCCAAGTCAGTTAGAGGAGTCGAGTGGCCGTGTTCCCTGCTGCTCTGGAGTAAGCCGGATGCCACTGTTCTGCTGAGAGCATCGAGGCTCAAAGCCTAGTTAGGAAGGAGATGGGACTAGGAGGACGACGGGGAGGAGGGAGGAAGCCTCTCGGGCACCACTCAGCCTATGTGACTGTGTTTGCAAAGTGTCTGATCCTCCTCCTGGGGATCCCCCTCCTGGGACCCACTCATCTTTGTCCTTACTGGTGTGCCTCCAGTTGTAAATGCTGGTGGCCCTGGAGTCGGGTGGCTGAAGTACTATCCCTGTGGTACACTCCTCATAACCCTGGGGAGGGTGGGACACAGCAGGTGGAGCCCACGGAGCCCATCCGGCCTGTTTGGAGGCAGAGCGTGGTGCCTCCTCACCCCCTCCGTGACTGGCCCAGGGCCCCCCCAGCACTCTCTCTGGGGCTCCTGGTTCCCTCTTCCTTCCCCACCCCCCTCCTGTAGCATGGAGCTCCCGAGGTGGGTTCTCCCCTTCTCTGCCCTCCACCCAGGCACACACAGCCAGGCCCCCCTCTTGCCCCCGTCTGCTTCTGTGCTTTGAGCCACAGATGTGCAGACCCCGCACTCTATGCAGAGCAGACACATGCACCTCCCAAGCACCCCAGACAGCTCTCCACCTTGCCACTCCCTGGTGCCCTGCTCCTTCCATGACCCCTGGAGCTCCAGCCAGAACCAGCTGCTCTGGGCACCTGGCTCCCCACACCAAATTCACAATGGGTCATGTGACCTGCTCCTTCAGGTCTTTAATGGCTTCCTTTTGGCCTGGGGATAAAAACCAAACCCTCCTGGACCATTTCCCCTGCACCCTGCATGCACCCTCCAGCCATGGCTCTCTCCATCTCCAGCCCTTTAGATGCACCCATCCTCTAGGACACTTCCCCTGTGCCCTGCCTGTCCTGTCCCCAACACCCTTTGGATTTTAATTGGTGTCACCTCCTCGGAAAGGACTTTCCTGAGGCCCCTGATTCTCTGCTAGTCGCTCACAGTGCTCGCCCTACCTGGAAGTCTATGTTGGCTGGTTCACTACATCACGTACTGCGTGTCAGCTGCCGGTACATGCGGGCTGTGTCCCCATGTGCCGTAGCTCCTGGACACGCTGGCTTGACTCCGGCACTGGGCTGTGTTCAAAGAATGAATGACATTGTTTCAAGGTGTAGTAAGACCAGATTACATCAGCCAGTACCCATTCATCTTTCCCGGAACATCTGAACTCACCAAGAAGCTCTCTGACCCTGGAATCCTGGTGCCATTTTTCCCACCACATGGCAAAACTCTTTAAAATTGGTGTTTTCCTCTCCTTCCTGCTTGCTGAATGGCCTTCTCCTCGTGGGTGCACAGGTGTGTGTGGCAACACACCCTCTAGTGTCTTGGGGACTTGTTCACTCCTTGGAACCTGGACAAATACTTAGTCTTAGCAAGGGAGCAAAACCCAGCAGGGTCCACCAGCCAGTCTCCTGGAGGTGTACCGACCTGTGTCACCACAAGGTGGCACTCTTCTGTAAGCATAGCTATCTTGGGATCCAGAGTAGATGGACTCACACCTCCACTGCTAGCCCTGCTTGGGTGTTGGGGCGCTGCGGCCACAGTGATTTAGAGGAACCCTGACCCTGATTGATGGTGTTATGGGCTGGTCAGAGTCAGTCAGGGAGAATGACCACACCTAGTCCCAACTGGTCATGAGGGACCCACATTATGACACTACCTCCGCGGGGAGGCGTGTGAGTTAACGGGCACAGAGGAATGATGGTGGGGTAGCACTTGTGCACCCACCCAGGAGAAGGGCGAGGGGAACCCAGATCATCCTATCTACGGGGTACTTAGAGGGGCCTTCACATGGACTAGAAGGGGTGGAAATCTTGGAACCCAAGTGACATGGCTGTAAAACCAAACACTTTCTTGGACTCAGTATCTCTCAGTATTTTTGTCTGTGCTCTGCACCCCTGCTGCAGGCGTAATGTGCCAAGGTGCCTGACTCTGCGTGTCTTCTCCTTAGGTTACCTGTTTGGCCTTAAAGGAGCAGAAGGACGTGTGGGCTACCCCGGGCCTTCCGGTTTCCCAGGAGCTCGAGGGCAGAAAGGGTGGAAAGGTGAGAAATGCCAGGAAGGGCAGGGGAGGGGACCAAGGCGACCACCCAGCCTTCTGGGCCCACCCCACTCTGCAGAGGGCTGTTCCCTCCCCCTGGGTTTAGGACACAGGATGAGTATCCCCAATCCAAAATCCAGAGTGGCCCCAAATCCCAAACTTTGGGAGTGTGGACATAACAACACATGTGGAAAATCCCACTCTGGAGCTTGGGTTCCAGCTCAGTGGTGAAGCACTTACCTAGCATGTGGGAGGCACTGGGTTCGATTCTCAGCCCTGCGCATAAGTAAATTTTTAAAAAGAAAAGAAAACTCACTTCGCCTCACGTGACGGTCACAGTCAGTCCAGGTATCTAAAAACGTATAGCGCTAACCTCAGTCTGTGGGTGTGAGGTTTATCTGAAGCACCTTTAGGCAGGTACTTCATACTGTATATGCAAATATTTCAAAACCTGCAATGATTCTGATCACAGACATTTTAGATAAGGGATACTCGGCCTGTAAAGATCTGCACCTCTCCCAAGCCGCCTCTCCCCACTCTGGGCGTTAACAGCAGGGGGAGGAACTCTGCTGCTTCCCAGGCAGGAGCACCAGTCTGGCCCTCCTACCTGTCCTCCCTCTGCCTGGCCCTCACTGAAGTCCCAGCACTCAGGAAAAGTCGAGCAGCTGTTCCCTGCTGAATTCAGATGCCTGGTCACAGGTTCAGTGCCAGGCAACAGCAGTGCCGGGCCGAGCCAGTCCTGGCAGAGCCCTCCCCACCAGGTGTCCTGTTCCACCCACTGAGACTCGGCGTGTGGGGACCTGCCTGGGCCTCGCTCCCACCCTGGGGAGGCCTTTGCCCCTTTACCTTCCCTGATGCACCTTGGGGACTCTGCCCTGTTCCAGTGAAGGACAGACCTGGGGACAGCTCCACTGTGAGGTTGTCTGGGACCATGGAGGTGCCTGTTTAGCTCCTGTCCCTGGGTATGGGCAGCATGTCCTGGCCCTTATGTCTACCCTGACCTTCAGATGCACATGGAACAGCGGGAGCCTGAGGGCAGACTGCAGGAGTCAGGTGGCCTCAATCAGGTGGGCACTCCCACTGCCGATGCTACAGCCTGCCCCTCTGTACATCATCTATGCCCAGGGAGCCAACCCCATGGCTGGCACAGTGCTCACTGCCACCTGGCCTCTGCGTCTCATCAGGACAAGGCAGAAGAAGGGTCGGGTATTTCTTCTCTGCTCACCCATGACCTTGGCCTCCAGGAGAGGCTGGCCTCCACCTGGACCTCCGGAGCCACTGTGATGGCCATCTCATGGCTGTGGGCTCTGGATTCCAGATTCCTCGACATCCTTGTTAGTCCCCTCAGCTCTGTCTGTTCCTCTGTAAAGGGCCCTGGTTTTTAAGTATTTCCAGTAAACAACAAAGCAGAATTCAGAACCTGAAGACTGAACCCTTGAGTGACTTAAAATTGGCCCCACACTGGTTATCCAAGAAGTGGGTCTGATAATCACCGCCAGGACAGATAATGTTTGCAAAGCACTGGGCAGTGTCCAGCCTGTGTGGCCTCCTCTTGGCCAGCCCTCCCCACCCACCTTTTTCTCTCTGCACTTTCAAGCTGAATGTTTAACACACGTGCCCTCCCTCCACCACTGCAGGTGACGCTGGGGACTGTAAATGTGCAGAAAGTGACCAGTTCATCAGGGGTCTTCCAGGACTGCCAGGACCCAAAGGTTTCTCGGGTATCAATGGGGAACCAGGGAAGAAAGGGGACCAAGGAGACCCCGGACAGCACGGCATCCCTGGGTTCCCAGGGTTCAAGGTGAGGAAACTGGGCATCCTGGTGACCAGCCTGGTGACCAGGAGCTAAGAGAACCTGAGGCATGCCCAGTTCATCTAACACACTGTAGACCAACACTCGGTCCCCAGCGCACGGACACACCTTCCAAAAAGCCACACGTCCAAGGTGAACCTCAAAAGCTTTTACCACTGGGAGTGTGACCTGGTACAGCCACTGTGGAAGAAGGTCTCACACCTCAAAAAGTTAGACAGGGGTCACCACCAAGGCCAGAAATTCACTCCCAGGAGAAACCCAAAAGAATCCAACACCCACGTCCATGAAAATATGTGTGCACCAATGTGCACAGGGACATTACTCATACGAGTCAAAACAAAGAGACAATAACCTGTCCATCCTCCGGTGAACAGGTGAACCAAACTTGGGCTCTCCATACAAAGGAATCGGATCCGCTATAAATCAGGACCACCACTGATTCGTGCTGCAGTGTGGACAGGCCTGGGAAAGGCCGTGCTGAGCACAAAGAGCATGTTCCTGTTGTGCCCGTTGTCTTGCGTTTGGTCATATGCTCAGGTTCAGCAGCCCCCTGCAGTGGGATGGCTGAGATGAGTTCTTGTAATTATGGTTTGTTTTTGACACTTGTACTGACAGAGTCTGGCAGAGGCCTTGAGGCTTAGGAGTCGGCCAGTAAATACATTCTTCCTCCTGTCCATTGACACAACGTATTTACTGAGCAAGTCTGTGTGGGACACTGTCCTGGATGCTGGAAGAATGTTGCCCTCTTCTGCAGAGAGCCAAGTCATCAATAAATCTAGTATCTGTGGACTTTGCCAGGAGAAAGGAGCCCACAGTCTCTTGTAACTGACTATTTCTTTAAACCAACACTCATTCTGCTCTAGCAGCTGTGTGGCCACTCTCCACTCAGTTCAGAGGTCCTAAATTCCTGGAAATAGCATCAACTAAGATATGCCCTAAAACTAACATAACACACATTAAAATACAATCCCCACTCACTTCTGCCCATTGAAAAAGCCGCCTGAGATCTTACGACCTGAACTCGAGTGTCCCTGTAACCAACTTCTCTCTAAGCCCTATTTTTCCCTCAACCTAAACTTCATTTTGCAAAAGAAACCATGAATTAAATACATTGATTGCTCACAATGGTAAATGATCCGAGTTTCTAAGCATTGTACTTAGAAGTTCATAACCTGCCGGGATCCAAACCTGTAGGTAAGAGTTCGGCAGCCTCCTGTTTTAGGTCAATGCTTCTCAAAGGCACTGGGTCCAGGAATCCTATTTAAGAAGCAGGTCACCCTCTGGCTGCCTCAGGGAGGTGGGGCTAAGCATCAGTATCTCTCACCAGAGATGCTGAGCACACTGGTCTGGGGATGGCACCCTGAGTAGCGAGTCTAGGTTTCCACCGTCCAACTACCTGGGGCACTTCCATTACATTTTAATTAAAATTTTTAAAAATATCTAAATTCAATTCCTCAGTCCTACTGTCCATTTTTAGTGACAGGGCTTGATGGGCACTGTGGCAGGTGGTCACTTGCCAGATAGCCCAACAGAGCATTTCTGGCACTTCAGGGCTTCTCTGAGCAGCACTGGGCTTGGGGACAGGCAACTGCCCGTGGGTTGTGTGAGCTACTCAGCATTCTCTCCGTAGGTGTCCCAAGCAGCCTAAAGGGAGAAACGCTTGTCCCTTTGTCTCCACAGGGAGTCTCTGGCATCGCTGGTGTTCCTGGGCCCAAGGGAATTAAAGGGGATTCCAGAACAATAACCACTAAAGGTCAGTTCCTGTGGCCGGGCAGCTTGGGCCACTTGGCTCTCCAGTGGATGCATCAGGAGATTCACTTGCGAATTCCTTCCCAGGTGAGAGAGGACAACCCGGTGTCCCAGGTGTGCATGGAATGAAAGGCGACGACGGTGTCCCTGGGCGCGACGGACTCGATGGATTCCCGGGCCTCCCAGGCCCTCCTGTGAGTAGCCGAAGTGGCAGGGCAGGCTGGCGGCTCGTCCTGATGCTTGTGTCCTCCAGACAGCTGAGAAGCAAATGGTGTTGGTGTTGGCACTGACCTGACCCAGTGCGAAGGCTGGCACCATCTGTTTTAATGAACACAAATTGTTTCTGTTAGGAAACAGCAGGATAAGTTAGCAGCCAGATCCAGAGTGAACATTTAAAGTCACAGAGTAAATAAATATTCCTCGAGGCATAATATAGAAGGAGAAAAGAAATAGAATTTTCTAGAGTGAGCGGTAGAGTCCTATTTTTGGAGAATAAATAGTGAAATAGACAATTGGGGGTTTGCGACAAACACTGAAAGAGGAGATGTTTGATCCCTAGAGACCCTGTCTCCTTTCCTGGGCAGTCAGGGAGGTGGGGCATGGCCGTCACCCCTGCCTGCCCCCCGTAACAGACCTGGTTCTCTCCTCCTGTGATTCTGCACTGTCATTTCCTGCCTCTTGTTCTTTCCTAGATTCGGTTTTCCCTGTGGCCAGCAAGCCTCCTTAAGCTCTTGGTTTTGGTGTCCTGGGGCTGCCTAACAAAGCTCCTCTGACGGGGCGGCTCATTCAGCAGAGGTGACTCCCCAGCTCGGGCTGGTGGCTGGGAGCCAGGTGTGCAGGCTCCTTCTGAGGCTAGGAGGGAAGACTGGAGGCGCCTCCATCCTTCCTCGTCTGGTAGACAGCTGCCTTCTCGACTTGCCTGTGTGCGTTGGTCCCTGTGACAGAGGTCCCTGGGGTAGGGAGAGCAGTCCTCCCACTAAGCCCTTGTTGTCCCTGGATCCTCTGCGTGACCTGCTCCTAAGCACGGTCCCCTTCACGGTGCGGGGAATGCATATGCCTCCTCCCTCCTGGCTTTGCAACCTGACTGTGGGCAGCCCCTCTGCCTGGTCTGCAGCCCGGGCCTACCTGACCTCAGCATGGCCAGGGTCTGCTGTACCTGTTATGCTTGGGGCGGTCGTCCTGGGCCAGGTGGCATGGGTGACTCTGTGACCGTGTCGCAGCGAGTCCTGTCTGGAAGACAGCAGGAGTGAGATGGGAGGCAGAGCTGGGGTTGGGTGAGGGGAACCGGCGCCCTGTGGTGTGCGTGTGGATTTGTCTCAGTGACAGTGGCCTGGGTCAGTGGCTTGTGGAACTGTGTTCTGCAGGGGACACGACCCTGACTGTGAGGGTCCAGCCAGCTCCAAGGCACCAAGGACCCGTGACAGGGACAGCCTTCCCTGCTATGTTCCCGGAGCAGGCCTCTGAGAGAAGCACTCAGACCCCAGCTGCTGGTTCCCTGGGGCGGGTGGCCTCTGTCAGTGCTCATGGGCTTCCCTGCTCCCTGGACCACTGAGCTAAGGACAGGAGCACCTGCTGGTGGGAGTCACTGGTGCCTGAGCCTCATCTGCCATGGCAGGTGGGCGCCTGCCCCATGATCTCCGCAGGAGCCCTGACATCAAGGCCCCCACATCAGCACTGGTGTGCTTTGAGGAGGGGCTGCCAGGGCCCTTCCATGCACCTGCAGGCCTTAAACCTGGCAGAGAAAGTGATTTCGAGAACAGCAGTGAGATTTCTTATCTCCTGGGCCTCACTGTCATCAAAAGGCCCCTCTTCCACCCCCTGGCTCTGTGGGGAAGCTGGGACTATTCCCCCAGCAGCTCCTCCAAATCGCCCCGAGCTCACTGCCCCACCCCAGTGCCCCACCCACCCTGTGTTGTCGTCTTAGGACACCCCCTGGGGAGTGTCCCATCCTGTGACTTAGCCGTCTTTTCCGATCCTGTAGTCTCCCCTCATTTCTAGCTTTCTCTCATCTAATTTAGCTTCCTCTCCTTTAATGACGCGCTGTCCCTGTGTACCGTAGATGGCACAAATGCCAATCATAACAATGCCAGTAACCTGTCCCTGACCCACGTGTCTCCCCCGGCCCCCCTGTGCTCACACAGGACTTTCTGGTGACGTCCGTTCGGTGCAAGATACAGCAGCTAGGAGTAGGAAATGAGTGTGGGACATAGGTGTGACTCAGCAGCTGCCTCTGTCCGGTTGCTCCCAAGTGTCATGAAGCCTGACCCTGATCCTTGTGACTTGGTGGGGCCATGACAGCAGGTCCTGATCATCTCTGTGGCCTTTCTGCTCTGTATCCATGGCACAGAACTCCAGGGACATGGGACAGGAACCCGGGCAGTGGCGGCTGTCTATGATGCTCTATTTGTTTTCTCACAGGGGGATGGCATCCAAGGTCCCCCAGGGGACGCAGGTCACCCAGGCATACCTGGAACCAAGGGTGTTCCAGGAGAAATGGGCCCCCCAGGACTGGGCTTGCCAGGCCCTAAGGGCGAGCGTGGATTCCCTGGAGACGCTGGGCTACCTGGACCGCCAGGCTTCCCCGGTCCTCCTGGCTCCCCCGGAACCCCAGGACAGCCAGGTAAGGGGGAGCCCTTTGTTTGCTTTCCGAGTATCAGATGCCAGTGAGTGCTCCCACTCCCTCTGCACCAACCTGCACCCCCCCAGGAGCCAGGCAAGGGCGTCACGCAGCCACGTCTATTCTTGGCTGATGGATCGTCACCACGGGGGTCTGCCCCACCCACCCCCTGCTCTTCTCAGCAGTCAAAATGTGGAGCTTCCCCTCTTGGGCACTCAAGTTCAGAAGTTGGCCTTCTGATTCTGGGGCCCACACTCTAACTCCCCAGCAGGGCACGCACACATTCACGCACGCACACCCCCGTGGTAAGTCAGCGCCTTTCAGTGGCTCCAAGATTGCCTGACGCTCTCCTTGTGTCTTGCAGATTGTGACACAGATGTCAAAAGGCCCATTGGAGGTGACAGACAAGAGACCTTACAGCCAGGTACAGTAACGGGGAGCAGGTGGCTCTAGATGGCTATAAGACTTTGGGCTGGTCAGACACGTGACTTGCTGAGGAGGGCTCGCTGAGCTCCTGCAGCGTGGGTGGGCGGGAACAGTGGTGTGTGCAAAGCTGGGGCCCATCTGCTTCAGCTCAGGACAGGCAAGCACCTCAAGGCTGTCCCCACGGTGTACCCACGAGTGGCAAGTGCACCACATCCACTCCGTGTGAAGGAACACCACAGAGGTGCTCACACTTGAGATCTGCACCTGTCCACCTCTCTGCGTGGCCATGAAGGACATCGGTGGATGGCTGGCTTGTTGTCCAGAGTGAAGAGCGAGGCCCACGTGTCAGGGAAGAATCCTGCCTAGCAATGGACAGGTGCTAGAGAGAACAAGGCTAGCAAGCAGGCAGCTCGAGGGATGGCCCCAGCCAACATCTGGGGACAGGGAGTCACTGCAGGTAGACTTGGACACTGAGCAGAAGCTAGGGAGAGAGAAGGAAAACACAAAGACACACGTGGAGCACCAGGCCAGTCAGAATCCCCAGGACGGGGAGGATGAGGACTGCAGCTAGAGGAGCCGTTCTCAAGGTGAAGGTGAAGGTCTGACCCTGAAGTCAGGGGCTGGACAGCCCGGGTCAGCTGCCGGTTCCTGCACAGCAGGGATGGCACCTGCACAGGTCTCAGAATAGGCCGGTCACCTAAAGGGCCATTCCAAGCCTGAGAGTCGTAGGCAGGGGCCCAGGCCCCCCTGAAGCTCCAGGCTCCTCCATCAGGATCCTGAGCTAGCCACTGTGCTCCATTCTGCAGTGGGGCGGGGTGGGGGGGGGCATCAAGGCCACAGAGCGGCTCCTCACCCAGAAGCTGGGACCTGCCACTGCAGTCGCAGAGAAGGGAGAAGGTGTGCGCCAGGTAGGGGATGGCTTCCACCACCAACTCAGGAGGGATCTGGGCCAGTCACACAGACCAACAGCGGAAGTACAGAAAGCCCTGCCGGCGAGCCAGGAGCACGGAGCTTGGAGCACTCTGCACTCGGGGATGTGGAAGCAGGTGAAGAGAGCTCAGAGGATGAAGCCCTGCAGGAGGTCACTACTGGTCGTAACCCGAGCTGTCTCACAGGGTGCCTTGGTCAAGCAGAGAGCGAGCCCCAAGCGGATGCTGGGAGACTGGGGAGGGGCCAAGGCTTCGAGGCATCAGCTAGATCATGACTCAGTAGGAGTAGAGGCCAGGGAGCCGTGGACAGTAATGCATTCGTGATCTGGGGGTGTTCCCAGAGCCCCAGGGCTTCAGTGGGTAGTGATTCTGGGCTGTGCCAAGATCCGAGATGTGTCCAAGCTGATAACAGTGGCGCAAAGATCAGAGACTGTGACATTCCACAGACACCAAGAGCAGTGTGGCTGTAGCCCTGTGCCTGGTGAAGAAGCCACTGGCTGTACCTCCCAGAATATTCCGGATGTTAAGCCACGGTCTGGGGTGAAAGAACCCCCTTGGTTTCCCCAGCACTGGCAGAGCGGTTTGCCAACGATGACCATGACATCAATGATGAGGATGAGACGTGTACGGAGCCTCTCATAGGAAAGGACCTGCTGTTCCAAGGTGGCCAAGAATACGATGCCACCCAGAGACCGAGGCAGAGGGGGCTAATGTCCTGGGCAGACGCTGGCCATTCAGACAGGACACATGGGGCCCTGGTCCGCACTCTCAGGGAAATGGACCAAAGAGGTCCCAACAACTCCTATGCTTGCAAGACAGCTTTCTCAGCAAAGGGCGCCTGACAAAACGCCCCCTGAAACGTCACCTCTCCGGGCAGCGCCAGCCACAGCACCGCAGCCTTGGCCGGGCTTTACTGCTCAGAGCAGCCACTTGCTGGGTTCATTCTGAAGCTGTTCAGGGTCACAAAGGAGAAGCCCAAGGATCCCTTTTAAAGTCACAAGCTTCTCCACCTGCTGGGAGACATTTTCAGGCGAGAGAGGCGTCTGCATTGACCGGCCAGGGCCACGATGACCTGGCCTGGGCTGAGGCTGCTGCCCATAAGAAGGACACCTCTGGCAGCACAGCACAGTTTCTATTTGACCAGTCTGACTTAATTTGCACCCTATGTGAATATTCTGGTATTATTACACAATGAGATTGAACTTCTACTTACATCAGAACCAAGATTAATTAAATCACTGAATTGCTTACAAAATGGTAGCCCGATCGTCTGGCCACTGTTGACCCTGCCAGTCCCCAAGACCCCGAGACCTGACATTGACAATGCCTCAGTTCCTCCCTCCTGTCTCCCCAGGTTGTGTCAGAGGCCCCAAAGGACTGCCTGGCCGGCCAGGACCCCCAGGACCCCCAGGTAACCTACGCAGGAAGCCAGAGAACACGCCAGTCTCCCATCCTCCGCTTTCTCTCCCCCTCTTGGTCCCCTCTGCCCCTGCGTGCTCCCTCCCGGGACATGGCAGGTGCCACCTTGCTGAGACCACCGCCAGCCGTGGGCATTTCCCTGGGAAGCCAGCTCTTATGCATGCAGTGAGAAATGTGTGGTGATGGACACTCAGCAAACCCCTGGCTGAGCAGAAACTCCTGCCACAGGGAGGAACCCGGCCTCGGCTGTGGCCCGGTGGCCTGGGTAGGCACCCAGGGAGAGTCCTTGTGTAAGCCCCGAGGTGCAGGGTGGGTCTGACGTACCCACACCTCAATATTTCCCAGATTCAGAATGACCTCATTAGGCCAGGTGCCAAGCAGTCACACCCCAATTACCCTTGTGGATCTCACATGGTTTATCTGAATGTTTAGGCACCAAAGGCCTCAGAGGGATCCCGGGCTTCTTAGGAGCTGATGGAACACCAGGGCTCAAGGGCTTTCCTGGAGACCCAGGCCGGGAAGGGTTCCCAGGACCCCCAGGTAAGTCAGCCCCTTAAGTTTGGGAAAGTGCTTGCATGTGGACAATCAGGGCAGCTGACATTAAGGGTAGGAAGACTGTCCCATCCAGGACTGGGAGCCCTGAAGTGGACAGGGGGCTGGGGCAGACCAGAGGGAAGGGAAGGAGAATGGCTCCGGGTGTTCCCATCCCCTGGGAGTGTCCATCAACCACTGCACTCCTGGCCTGCATGCAACCTGGATGTATGGGAGCCCATGAGCCATGAAGTGGCATGTCCAGGGAGCAGCTGGTCACAGCCTTGTCCCCCCTGGTTGAATCGTAGGGCTGGGACCCGATGGTGGAGGAAAGCAGAAGAGATTTAGTGGACAGATGTTGGGAGAAGTGCAGGCACCAGGACAGGCAGCAGGGCAAGGCCCGGACCCCAGGGACACCGCCCAGCCACTTGCCAAGCCTGGCTGTCCAACCTCTTTCCACACTGCACCAGAATGTGACGATGCTGGCCTCTGACTAACGGACCCCCGTTTCCTTCTAGGGTTCATGGGACCTCGGGGATCCAAAGGTGCTGTGGGCCTCCCTGGCCCAGATGGACTCCCAGGCCCTGTTGGCCTGCCTGGACCAGCTGGACCCCCTGGGGAGAGGGGACTTCCAGGAGAAGTTCTAGGGGCCCAGCCTGGGCCCCGGGGAGATGCTGGACTACCTGGACACCCGGGGTTGAAAGGTCTTCCAGGAGAGAGAGGCTCCCCTGGATTCAGAGGTGAGTCATGTGACAGGGGCATGTTACAGTGGAGGGACCCTGTGCCAGCTGCACTGTGGCTGCCAAGCTGAGTCTGAAATCCTTCCTGGGGGCTTTGGTGAGAAGCACCCACACTGTGTGCGCCTGGTCTTGCTTTGTCTTCTCCACTTCGTCCCAGCATGCATGCCTGCAG